TAAGCTCTGCCTCTTAAGATCTTTATCTTTTGCCAGATACAGTATTATTCACAGGTGCCAGGGATTTGGTGTGGATATCTTTTGGAAGATCATTTTTCTGGCTCTTATTTATAACCTGTTGACAGGCAGATGATTGAGAGGCAGTAGAGAATAGATGGTGGAGAGCATGGAATTTGAAGGCATACTAATTTGTTTGAAACATAGCTGAGGCATTTACTTGCTATGTACACTTTGGCAAGCTAACTAACTTCTTAATCCTATTTTCTTCTTTGTTAAATAGGGCTAATAATAATTTATAATAGGACTATTCAGAAGATCAAATGGTTTAAGAAATGGAAAGTGACTGACACATAGTAGGCAGAAAATGTTGACTAAGGCTACTACAAGCAGTCAGTTCAGGAAAACTTTGCATAAGTCAAGCAGCTATGGAGGCCAGTTCTTGGGGGATAAATTTGTTGTGTTTTGTTTGTATTTACAGAAGTTCATGGAGTTTTCTGTCACATGAAGAAATACTGGCAAGACACAGGAAAATGTTGTGTGGGTTTGGGCAGAGGAGAGCTTCTGGAAGCAATGCTTCTCAATATGTGTATTTTCTATCGTTTTAATTTTTCAGTGTATAAAAACTTGAAAAGGTCAACCAAATAGGGGGAGTTCAAGAGATGCAAAGTTCATAGAAGATCGTCTGTACTTACCATGATTACAAGAGAAACTAATAAAAATCATTAAAGATTAAAATTTAGCTTTTTTGCCTGTTCCCATGATTCATTAATCCATGTTGTTCCCTTTGGTATATGGTAATTTTTGTCCTTTGAATTGAGTTCAGTTTTTATATTCAGTATTCTTTCTCAGCAATCCTCCACCTTAATTCCATTCGTTTTTTAAAACTGTGCTTTTACTCTACCTTAGAAAAAAAAAATTGAAATACAGTCCTTTAATTAACTTGTTACCAAACAGACATAGGAACTGTATGTTTACCGTGACTTAAAATGTATATTTTGGCATACTTAAGAAGCTTGCCACACAGTTTTGACTTTTCCACTGCTTGTTTTTTTTTTTAATCCTGCACAAACTATACATTAAGATTTGTTGCAGTTCACTTACTATTTTATAAAATGGTACCATATTTCTAGATGCCTTATTTGCTCTGCAATGACGACTAAAACAGCCCACACAGAGAAGTCTGTTGTTATGATGAACATCTGCCTCCAAAGGGCACGATGAGAAATTGTTTCATTTATCATAAGTTTTAAGCAATAAACTTATTCTTTGTCTGTCTTGGTTTTGGATGCTGTAACAACTACAATAGACTGGGTGATTTAAACAACAAACACTTGTTTCTCACAGGGAAGTCCAATGTCAAGGACTCTGATGAGGGAGAGAGAGTATGTGTGTGTGTGTGTGTGTGTGTGTAAATATAGTTGAGCGTGATGGCTTAAGCCTGTAATCACAGCTGTTTGAGCAGTGGAGATGAGGAAGATTACAATTTGAGGCCGCTCCGAGCAAAAAGTTTATGAGAACCCATGTCATCCAATGACTGGGCATGGTGGTGTGCACATGTCAACCCTGACTATGTGGGGAAGCACAAATAGGAGGACCACATTCCAGGCCTGCCTGGGCATAAAGTGAGATCCTATCTCAAAAATAACCAACATAAAAAGGACTGGGGACATGGCTCAAGTGGTACAGCACCTGCTTAGCAAGCACAAAGCCCTGGGTTCAGCCCCCTAGCACTGCCCCAAAAAAAAGTAAATAAAAAAATAAAGATATTAGATAAGAGTATTAGAAAGTTACAGAGTACCATGGGAAAAATGTTTAGGTAGAACAGAGCCAGGTAATCAAGAGTTGGGTCAGGAGGGCTGGGAGACCACACAGTATTAAATACTGTGGTGTTCTCATTTAGGCAACATTTTGAACGTGACTTGAACAAAGTTAAGTTTTTAATCATGTTGATATCTAAAACAAAAGAGCATTATTCCAGGCAGAAGCAATGACCCAGGGAAAGGCCCCATTGTGGAAGCATGCCTAGTTTGTTCAAGAAGGTCACAGAGCCCCTGAAGGGCAGGTCACATAGGGCCTTGTAAACTGTAATTAGGACATTGACTTTTACTCTGTGAGAATGAGAAGTGTTAGAGGACTTTTGAGTAGATGAGTGACTTGTGTTTCAACAGGGAGCTATATTGAGACCAGACTACAACTAAATGCAGGTTAACTCATTAGGGTGCTAGTCCAACCCCCAAGTGAAAGATAATAATGGCTTGAATGAGGATGTTGATGACTGTTTGGGAAAGAGAAACGTGGTCAAATCCTCCATGTTTTTGAAGTTCTAGACAACAGGGTAGCCTGATGGTTTGGCTGTGAGGTATAAGAGAAAGTGAGAAGTCAAAGATGACTCTGGGATGCTCACTTCCTCTCCTTAATCCCATGCATCTAACTGGTCATCAGTGTCGTAACTCTACCATTAGTTATCACTCTTTTATTCCCCTGCTGTTTCTTAAATGCACTGCTGGAGTAGCTGACTGAGGGCATTGCCTGGTTTCAGTCAATCTTTTCTTCTGGAGTAAGGAAGTATAAATCTGTTTATGTCAGTTTGGAGGTTAAATTTCTAGTGTGTTTTCAGTGGCCAACAAATAGAAGTCCAAAGTCCTCAGATGGCATGCAGTATCCTTAAAAATCCTCTGCTTACTTTGGGAGCTTTATCTCCCATCCCATCTTTATGCCCTTTTTACCTGAATTTTCTAATGGGTTGATCCTTCACACCTCCCTGGGTTAGTACGCGCTGTTCCTTCTGTGTGGCATGCCCTCCCCATCTCATCTGTTAGTGCATTACAAGGCCATTTTGTATGCCTATTTGTCTGTGAGTGCATTCGCTGACCTTAATATGCCACCTACTCTGGTGCCTTTCTTTCTTTCCCTACAGACCTGGTGCAGAATGGTTACACTTCTCTTTCCAGTGTTGCTTAGTGTGTCTCTGACACATTCTAAACAATTTAAGGGTGGGAGCAGAAGTAGTGTTTTACCATTATCAGCACAGGCCCAGTACATAACATGGTTGACTGTTAAGAAGCTGGGGCATTAAGGTGGAAATGGGTAGACATCAATTGGATATTATAAACATAAGAACAAAAGTAGAGAGTTTGTTTGATGGCCCCAAAGGGCAAATGCACATGGTTGGAAACAGTTTAAGTGTAAGTGTAGTTATCATGAAAGTACTGAGGGCCATAGGAGAGGGAAGTTGTAGTGGGAAATGAATGGTGTTTGGGTACTGATCAGGGAGGTACTTCTGTACCCCAAGAGTTTTCACTTTGCTTAGAAACAGTGAAGAGCTGCTCAAATACTTTAAAAAAGAAAAAAAAAAAACAGATTTTTGTCCTTCTAGTTCACGTATCCTACTGTTTCATGGAGTTAGTTGACACATGTTCAAAAGAGCATCTGTAAGTCAGCGGTACTTCTGTATTCCTGCAGTAGAGGAGGGACGGAGGAGGGTAAGGGTGTCTTTACTGTTGTAGCAGTTTAACAATCCATAGGACCTCTCCAGTTGGGAGCTGTGGGACTCACGCGTGCACAGTCAGTTGGCGCTCGCTGCTCTTCGGGCTGCAGAGCCGGCTGGGCCCAGGGGAATCTGCGCATGCGCACAAGCACTGAGCCGGAAGCCCGTGCTCGCCAGGGTGAGAGGCCAGCATCATGGGTGAGGCCTACAGGGGCAGTGAGCCGTGGGAGAGTTTCTCAGATGTTGTTGTCTTGTAGCCCAAACTCTCCTTGAGGAACAGCTGCAGGAGGATTTCTTGGCGCTCCTCTATAGTGGTGGAAGTGGGAAGCCGGAAGTAGAAGCTGTTTCCGGGGCAGGTATGACGTTACCGGAAGTGTTCGACTTTTGCGGGGTGCACAGCTTTTGCTGTTTGGGGTGCTTACTGGAAAGCCAGTATTTGGATGGCGGCCTTTGGGTCTTGGCTTGCACACTTCTTGAAGCTGATGATAAGCAGGGGCAGGTGGTCTGAGTGTGGGAGGACTGCGTGCCTCCGGGGGACCCCGGGCGGGACTCGCTCCAGCCCTGGGCAAGAAGCCTTTGGGAAGCCTCTGGGGTCACTGTGAGACCGGGGTCACCTTTGTCTTGAGGCTTGGGCCTCCACAGCCCACTCAATGGCAGTATGATAGTATGATCTGTGATAGCGACATCACTGATGAGTTGAGCCCTGGAAGACTTGCCCGAGTCACCTGAGAGTGGAGTGTGGCATGGAATGGCCAGTGGCCCCGAAGGTCTCTGTGAGCATGGTGTCTGACTGCTCAGCTGTGCATGGCATCATCACATCATCAAAGTTAGAGATGTTGGGGGCATAAACATGTTCCCAATCCACCTTGTCCTCTCCAGGAATGTTCTTCCGAGAGTAGTGTCAGGGAGGATTGATCAGGAGACCTGAAGATTACTTAAAGACTAAGGAATATCCATGTCATAAAGCCTTGGGGTAGGGAAACTCAGGATTGATTATCTCAGTGAGTCACATCCTTGAGGAGCCACTTCTTTATGCTTTCCACTCTGCTAATTGGTTTTGTTCTGCTGATGGTAACATAGGCACTTTGGCTCTGGGCCTAGCACACGCACATTGGAAGAAGAATGACTTCAGTATGATGCCTAAACAAATAACTTGCAGGGAAATGGGAGTATTACCATAATTGATTTAACTAATGGAAATTTATTCTGAGTTGGAGGAGAGGGTGACCTCTGAGGGGAAAATGGTGGTAAAGAGTGGGAATGGAAAAGGCCAAAAGGATGCAGAAATACTGTGGAGGAAGTATGGATAGAAGTGTGATGATTTGCATTTAGGGATCAAAGGAGGGCGGATTGGAGGCTGGCTGATGTATGTAGCTTAGGTGAATAGGATGATGGTTTCACTTAAAGACATGGGGTCCAGAAGAGGAAGGAATAAAGACTGAAGGCAATTAAGGGATAGTTATGCTGAGAATTATCTGATAGTTATTTGATTTTTGTTTTTGTTTTTGTTTAGAAGCTAATGGTATAGATGTAGAAGTCACCCACAGAGATGTTACAGTTGAAGAGATGGGGGTAGAGAAGACTTTGAAGGAAAAGAATGTAGAATGAGGATAGAAGAGAGAAAATCTCAACAATTAACAGGTGAGTAGAGGACACTAAGCCAGAAAAAGAAATTTAGAAGGGATATTCAGATAGATAGGAAGCATACTAGTACTTTGTAGTTGTTTTAATCTGCTACTATTAAAATGATCAATTGACTAAAATTTGTTTTATTCAAAACATTGAATTTTTTTAGACACCAACACCCTAGTTAGCTCCCTATAGAATCATTGGCAGGGTTTTATTGTGTTAAAAAGCTTCATGGTGTTTTATATTGGATGGATCAATTTTTGAGGATTTCTCTGAAGTTTCACTTTATTTTTCATAGGATAATTGGTGTGCTTCAGACTGTATTTGGCTTGGGTGAATTGATTATTGGGTCGCTGGCTTTTTTGCTGTATTATGTAGGAGAACATTTCAAGAAGCTAACGGGTCATTAAGCAACAACTGGTGCCGCTAAGACACAGGGGGATGAAAATCGAGATAATCAGTCACACAACTGAGATGATAATGTTTAAGAATTAGGGGAAGTTTGGCTTATTAAAAAAGTGAGCAGTTTTAGTGCTGTGCCAGGGGCTGAAATCATAGACTGATGATTAAGGGACGAGTTAGACTTATGAACAGTAAAGAAAGCACTGGACTACTACTCTTGACTTCGAAGGCAAAAGGAAGAGCAAAAGCAGTTGAGGATAGATTTGCCAGCTTTGAAGAGAGTTTGTTGTGGAGGCTGGTGTGTCAGCATTGGTGGAAACTCAGGCATCTTAGGAACATATTAGCAGGGGACGAGCCTTTGAAGAATGAGATATAGAGGGAAAGTGACAGAGTGGGCAAGGTGAAGACGGAATCTGTTCAAGAGGGCGAGCTGGCTGAGTTAGGAGAGAAGATCGGAAGTGGGTAGAGGGTCAGAGAAACATTGAGGAGGAGATGTGCAGAGTCTGCTCTCAGGAAACGTACGGTCATGTGTCGGGATGATGATGTGTGGATGCTCAAGCGTATGCAGCAGTCTTGGTTCAGTCCCCGGGGTCAGGAAAGGGAGTTGGCCGGAGGAATAAAAGAACGGGCAGGACTGCTTTTCTCTCAGACATTAGGAATGCTAGCGAGGAAACTTTTCCTCGGGGGCATGGGGAGGGTGGGTTTAGGCAAGGATTTCTGGGCGTTACCTCAAGCATGTTTGCAATTATTGGCAAAGGTTTCCAGACCTAATAGGGAGGCAAAGTCAATTCAAGTGGCAGAGAAACAAGGTGAAAAGTGACCAAAGTATACAGTAGAGGTCAAAGAAGAGTCTGAATAGTAATGAAAGGAAGAATAACACGTTAGGTGAGGTCACATGGGGGGTCTTTTATCCCTCTACCTGCAACCCATACGGAGGAGCACCTGGGTACAAATTAATCTTACTTATTCTAATTTTATGTAAACTTGAAGAAATAATAAACAAAAGGATTAATGTAGTATCAGAAATGTCTTTGTTTTATTAGCTGTGTAACCAGAAAAACAAGATTATTTGTGAAGTTAGTATAGTTGTAAACTGTGGTATAGATGCACTATTATTTTTTATAGAGTAATTTAATGTACAGTGTGAGTCAAGGCTTGTGAATCTTGTTCAGAGTACACACATTTATTGCACTGACAAAATTCCTTTTCATGTAGCAAATTTTTTTTGTCAGCATATTATAGTTATAGAGGGTACATTGTGACATTTACATAAGGTTACAAGATTTCTTCACTCCTTCCATCTTTCTCTTTTCTCTCCCTTTCTTAAAGTAATTTTAGTAAGTTTCATTGCTCTGTTTTCATACATGAGCACAAAATACTTCTACCTTACTTGTCCTCCTTCATCATTTTTTATGCCTTCCCCCCTCTTGTTGGCACCTAGACTTGTTTTACTTTCTTGTCCTTCATTTATTAAAAGGGACATTTTTGTTTGCTTATGATAGTTCTACAGGGAGTTTCATTGTGACATTTCCACATACAGATGTATTATACCCCAGATATGTTTCTCTAAATACTTAAAATTATTTGTAAAGCAAAGGTATGGTTTTTAAGGGTATGTTTTTTTGGCGTGAAGTAGTCTTCAAAAGACCTCTTTTCTGTTCAGGGAACTTCCTTTGAATTCCTCAGTCTTGGCTTGAGTGTTGTGACTGTTTGAGCTCCCCCTGACCTAATGTGATTTTTCTCCCCTCTTTGTGTTGAGAGCTATGAATATTGGCCGGTATTTGAAATCAGTTTTAATTCTTTTGTCAACTCCCAAGCACCTAATGTGAGAGTAACAGGTTCTTTTCTAAAAAATCACTTTTTTAAAAAAACTCTTCTAAAAGAAATTGATGAAATCACTGCTCAGGAAGTGTGGCTTAGGCATTCATTTGCATAAGTAAGAGAAGAAGAGCACTTGTTGTACAACTGGGTTTAAACAAACTTTGTTAAAGTTGGGTTTGAGTGCAGAGACTTTCATTATAATTAATTTAATATGTTGGATATTTTGTTTCAATAAATTGCTCAGACCTGCCTAGCTTGTAACTTTAATCCACATCCTCATAGTCACACACACCTTCCTTCCCCTGGGCTTAGTAATGGTCGCAGTACCAGACACTATCATCTGATAAGATAAGCAGCACACGGTCCTTTGCCATAAGCCAGGGGTCCCCACTGGGCCTGCTGACGCACACAGTCCTCCCCTGATGTCAAAGGGTTGATAAGTAGCACATTGGCTCCTTTCCGAAATTTTGTGCCAGAGCAGGGGAAAAGACTCTTTGTCTGAAAAAGTAGCTCTGTTGAGCTATTTTTTTTTTTAAACTATTGCTTTTCTTGACTGTAGGCCAGATTCCTGTCTGTTTAAATGGTTTGGTATTATTTCTGAATTTTTGGCAGAAATAATGTTTGTTAGCAAAAATATGTTTAATTCATTACACATGATTTTCTATGATTTGATACCACTCAGAAGGGTTAACATTTGCTGTATTTTATGGAGAAAACAAGTGTGGGGAGTTTGATGAAAAAGGAATAGCTTGGTAGAACTCATTAAAAAAAGACTTAAATTTTGCATTTAACTCCATCTAAATCACAAGGAGGGGAAGGCTAGGATCATTTCAGTAACACTTGATATGTGACAAGCTATCTGTCACAACGTAGCTGTTGGTATAGATACAGAAATGTGGACAACTATTAGGTTCCTGAGTTTGAACTTTTCCAGACTGGTACTAACCTGTTGGCACATATGCCAGACGCACTCACTACTGGTTAAAACATCAAGAGTCAGAATATGGTCTACAGCCAAATTGTCACTATCACGACAAAGTCTAAGTAGTATATTCATCCTATAAAATGTTTGCTTAACGATTTTATGTGATTCATTGTATGTCATTTATTATCTAGGATGTTATTAAGGTATCCTAAAAATGAAGATGACAGCAGTTCTGTAATTTTATGGCTACCTTGTTACGAAAAGGAGCACAGGTACTCCTTTGATCTGAAAACCTAAACACTTTATATATAAAAAATTATCAGTCACTAATTGTATCTGCTCAGGCTAGTGAAATTTTGCAGTTTTTCATTATCATCTAAACTTTAAATTTGAAAATGCGTATAAGTTGAATAAAGATAGCAACGAGAATTGTGGATTACCAAAACAAGAATGCACACACAATTAGAAATGCAAAGAATAGTGAAACACATATTTTGAAAATGAAAAGCCGAAGGAGAATGACTGCTTAATGTCTTTTATTTTTGTTTACAAGGCAGCTCCTTCTTTGCAAAAAATTGTTTTGAGAATTTTTAAATGCCTCTGAATTCTCAAAGTGCCATCATTATGCTAGTGAGGTCACTTTTATGACCATATAGTAACGTGTTGTTTATTGACTAATGTTTTGTTGACTGAGCATGAACTCATTTTTTATAGTTAAGTGTTGGTAATAGCCAATGTTTCCTGAAAATAATTTTAAGCAGTTTCCATCTAATAACTATTTAATTCTTAAAACAATTCTATCATATGTAGATGTTACGGTCTCCATTTCCCAGATGAGGAAATCAGGACTCAGCAATGTGCAGTAACTCATTCTATTATTCAGTAACTGGTAGAGAACCCTAGTTGTCTGTCTTTGACATTAGAATTTTATGCTGTATGCTCCATGGTGCTGAATTGACCAGGAGAATAATGTCACTTTTCTTTAGCCATTGTTAACACAGTGTTACTAGCATGTCATTAAGTAATGGGGAAGGGGATTAAAATATTAGAGCTGCATGAAAATTTATCCTACTTTGCACAGTTAATATACACTAACACAAAGAAAGCAGAGTGATGTTTGTGTTAAAATTCTCTCCTGATACAGGAAGACAGATGAACACAGTTCTCTGCTTCTGTGCATGAAGGGATAGGAAGATCAACTGGTACCAAACACTTAGGAACAGGAGTGTGTGTGGTGTGTGTGAAAGTTGAATTTATTGTAAGAGTTCAATAATGGTTAAAAGGTTTAGAAACTCCACAATTTGTCACAGTGGGTTCAAGGACAAAATCATATTAGCATTACAGTAAATTTAAAAAGTGACACTTCATGTCAAAGTGAAAAACAAGCAAATCCCATTCGACTAAGAATAACTGGATCCTTCATAACATGAGACAGAATATGGGTGATAAACCTAGAGCCAATATCATAGTTCTACAGAAACGTGAGGATTCTGGAAGAAGACTAGGCTTTCTAATGAATGGGATTTTTTTTTAAAGCATAATCAATTTGCCTAAGAGGTAAACTGCTTCTTCCAAAGGCTATCACGCTGTGTTAAAATGTCTGCTGTCACAAAGCAGAGACGCTTCTTTCCAAGAATCAAATGTGAATGGAACTTACTGCCCCATTAATGACTCTGGCCTTCTTTTCGCTCAGCATTTTCTATAGCAGTTACAACTTAACTACAGAGATGTCTTTAATATCTCAGTACTATGACAGAATAGTGTGTGATTTCTTACTCCAGCCTAGTGACAGGACTTGAGTTCTTAGGTTCCCCATCAGAATTTTGATGGC